GGCACCGGCTGTGGGGAGGGAAAAAAGGGTGAAATTGGGTCGAGTGTGAGATGGGGATTTTGGCATGGGGGGTGGCTCAGTGAGCCGGATACGTAAACCATGGCAGAGAAAGGGATTTAAATTGATTAAAGTTCGGCAAGGGACAGAGGTCAGAGCAGGTGACGGCCATCCCAGGTGGCAAAAAATCAAACAGTAAATGCCTCAAAGCGCTTTGCACCCAGCGGTGGCCCTGAAGGTGCCCGGTGTCCCACCTCGCAGCCCCTGGGGAAGGGACAATGGAGCAATGCTGCCCCAAGCCCTACAAATTTGGCAACAGGACAAGGGGCAATGGACACAAACTGAAGCACAGGAAGCTCCAGCTGAACACGAGGAAGAACTTCTTCTCTCTGAGGGTGACGGAGCCCTGGTCCAGGCTGCCCAGAGGGGCTGTGGAGTCTCCTTCTCTGGAGATATTCAAGACCTGCCTGGACAAGGCCCTGTGCAGCCTGCTCTGTGCTTCGGCAGGAGGGTTGGACCAGATGACCCACAGAGGGCCCTTCCAACCCCAAACATTCTGTGTGATTCTGCGTTTGGTTGCCCAAAAACCACCCATGTCCTCCCACGTCTTTCCAGGCTGCCAGCCCCAAAGCATAGGGACTCGTAGGACCAATGCACCAAGGAGGAACAAAACACCTGCAGGGCTCGGGATCCCTTTTCACCATTTTCTCAAAGTCTAGCGTGAAAAAAATGAAGGTGCCAGCCTTAAACCATCAAGATACTCCAGGATTATTTATTGAGAGAAGGGGATGCCACAGGAGGTGCCGGGTTCAATATGGATGCTCCAGGACATGGACCATGATGTCCAACAGCGCCGGCCAGGTCTCGGTAGCGGTGGGGATGATCTGGGTGCTGGGCAGGAGGAAGCCGTAGCGTCCCGTGTCCCTCAGCTCGAAGGTGAAGGAATATTTCACCCCGTTGTCGTAGGCCCAGTCGACGGTGGTGCCATCTGCCATGTCTGTGGGGAGAGGAGACGTGACCCCAACGCTGAGCGTTCATGGTGGACGCAACACCGCAGGATGAGGAAGGGACACTTACAGATGGTGTCCGCGATGCTTCCATAAGTATATTTCGTCCCATACACGACGGCCAAGTCGCTTACAGCCTTTTTAGCCAGTTCATTCTGCAAGGGAGAGCCCAAAAGTGGTGAGACCTGGTAGACCGAGACCTTAAGGTAGCAGGGTCAAGAGCCCAACATCGTTTCCCGCCCCTTCTTCTCTAGCTTTTCCCCAAAACACCCTTAATTTTTGATGGGAGGTACATCTTGCGATTGCCTTCCCTCTAAGAACCAGGTGATGGTCTTCAACATGAAGGTTGCATCTAAGAAGAGGAGCAGGGGGGTCCTGGGATGATCCAACCTGACTCTTCCAGCAAGGCTGGCACTCGAAGCCCCACATCTACGTTTTGGGGCCATCTCACCAGTTCCTGGTGGTGGGGTGCAGGCGCTGTCTTGTAGCCATAGGGGAAAAGCAGCATCTGGGAGTAGCTGTGGATGGAGATGACGGATTTCACGCTCCCATGGCCGCGGATGAAGTCCACGATGGCTTTCACTTCTCTCTCGGAGTGGGCGTAGGGGCCGTGGTAGGTCTCGGAGCAGGGGTTGCTGCTGGATCCAGAGCCTGGGGCACGGTGGAAGAGGCACCATGCAGAGAGGCTGCCCCGGGGAAGGGTTTCTAGCCATGAGGTCTTTCTCCTCTAGCAGGAAGCTTTGATGCTCTGAGGCATGAGTGATGCCCGGTGTGGGGACCTGGTGGCCCGGCTCTTACCTCCAAAACCGGCATCCCAGTTTCGGTTGGGGTCCACACCGATGCAGCGGGAGCCAGCGTTGATGGACCTCGTCTTGCGCCACATGCGGTTCTAGGAGCAGATGGGGGTGAGACCCTCACAGGGATGTGAATCACCCCCTTGGGGGACAGATGACGCCCTCCTTCCCAAGCATCTCTGGGGATGGGAGGAAACCACCTCCACCCACTCACCATCCCACATAGGGACAACCCTCCCCACCCAAACACCACGGCCAGCCAGGGCTCTGGAGACAAGCGCCGGGACAAGTTCCTCTCATAGTGTCCCTGCACTCACGGAGCTGTGGGTGAAGGCGAAGCCATCGGGGTTGGTGACAATCTCAAAGAAGATGTCCATGCTGTCCAGGATGGCGGTGACAGAGGGGTCCTGGCCATACTCCTCAGCGATCTGCATGGGGAGGGGAGCGGAAGCTGCCTCGGAGCCCCTCGGGGACAAGGGACACGACAGAGTGGCGTACCAGGGAGGTGTTAAAAAAGGGGTTGGGGTAAGAATTGGGGTCCCGTGTCCCAGGGCACGTCATTACCTTGTTGGCCGTCCAGACGCCGGTGGCATGGGTGATCCATTCCCGTGAGTGGATGCCGGTGTCCAGCCAGATGGCCGGCCGATTCGATCCCCCAGTGCTGAACTGGATGGAGGGGGGGTGGATTTCAGCCCTGTGCCCTCCCAGGGCTGGGCAAGGCGAGGGTGCCCCCAGTACCCACCTTCAGCAGGTACAGGGATCTGTTCTCGTAGCTCTGCCCGATCTGGATCTTGCTAACAAGGCTGGGATGATCATCCACCAGCATGTCCATCCAGTCATAGATCTGAAAGGAGGAGTTGTTGGGTCATGAGGCTTTCCTGCTGTCTTTTTCGATATCTGGCATCAGATGCAACGTGCAGAACTTCACTGGAGAAGACTGGGTTCTTCCCCAGAGCAGACCAGGTGCTTGGACCTCTGTGCGAGCAGGGAGGTGCACATCGCAAAGGTTTTCACAAAAGCAGATGAATGGTGGGGGTAAAAAAGTTCTGAGATCCCCCAACACCATCACATCCTCCATCAGCCACCCACTGGGCTCCAAGCACAGGGTTTGACCCCCAAAATGAAGAGGTCTTCCAGTGAGGTGGGGAGGTGCCAGGAGAGGACACACCTCACGTGGAGGGATGCAGCCTTCCAGTACCTGAAGGGATACTTCAGGTACTGCAGAGGGACTTCTCACAAGGGCATGTGGTGACAGGACAAGCGATGATGGCTTCAAACTAGAAGAGGGGAGATTTAGATTAGAAGCAAGGAAGAAATTCTTCCCTGTGAAGGTGGTGAGGCCCTGGCCCAGGTTGCCCAGAGAAGCTGTGTCTGTCCCCTCCCTGGCAGTGTCCAAGGCCAGGCTAGACAGGGCTCTGAGCGCCCTGGGCTGGTGGAAGGGGTCCCTGCCCCTGGCAGGGGGTTGGAACCAGATGGTCTGTGAGGTCCCTTCCAACCCAAACCGTTCTGTGAGTCTATGCCCGGTCTCCTGGCTCAGCTAAAACTTCCACCCGAGGAAAAGAGACGCATCGCGGGGGGTCCCACTGCCACCACAAACATCACCACATGGATGCAACCAAACCATGGCATGAGCTGAAAGTGACCCCAGGAATATGAAGCGAATGTTCTGCAGAGCAAAGTACCTCATCTAGTGTGTGGTAGGAGGCAAAATCGAATGTGCTGATGCTTCTCTCTGTCCTTCTGGACTCCATCATGGTTTTCTTTTCCTCATCCAATAATTCCTGTTTAGGAGAGGGGGAAAAAAACCCTCATCAGACAGGCTGGGTGAAGCAAGGGGTTGAGTTTTTCTTCCATTTCCTCATGGTTTCCAACTTTTTGGACCTTCTCTTGGGACTGAACTGCAGGAGCTCGTCCTGCTCCCCGCGACAGCCCTTACCTGCACGTCCACGATCATGATGCTGTAGGAAATGCCGTTGGACTCCAGGAAGATTTTGACTGCTTGGAGACTGGGGAAGGGCACGCGGAGGTCGGCTGGGCGGCCGGGGCTGCTGGGGTGACGCCAAAAGTCAACCTGGTGTGGAAGAGACGAGAGAGCTCAGCCCCATCCCGTGCTGGTGCTCATCCGCTGAGCTCCCCGGCACAAAAAAGGGATCTCAGAAGAGTTTGCACTGGAGGATTTAAAAAGGTCTTTGGGCAAGTTTTGGGACACGCATGGATGGGTCCGGGTCCCTTTGCCTCACTCAGTGGATCTCCTACAGAAACGTTTTTCAGCCCAAGTTGTTTGTTGGCTGCAAACGCCCCTTTGGACGGTGAGTATTTGTGATCTGAGCTGACATGGCGAGACACCAAGGTCACTGCGTGCCAGTTTTGCTCTTTAGTGCAATCGAGGGAACTCTTACATCAGCTTTGTAGAGCAGATGCTGTTCCCTACCACCCATCTCCGTCCTGCTGCTTAAAGCGTTCATCGAGATTCACCCCCCACCGAAGCAACCAGGGAAAACGCAGCAGGAGCAGAGTTGTGTCACAATTCAAGCCAAAAAAACCCATGCAGTGACATTTTAGACCTGCTTACTCAGCCTGGGTACGATGATGCTGCAGTGGCCGGGGTGTTCCCGCTCCACCTGAAACAGGAGGGCTCAAGGTGCCCTAAGCTAAATATTATATTTATGTAGCTATAAATTATACATATCCAAAATGGAACGGAAAATTGGATGTGAGGTCAAAAGGAAGGAGGCCTGGATGTCACCGGGAACCTCTGTTTTACACCGGGGGATGCTCAGGGCCCCCTCGCAGCTCACCTGCAGCTCTGCCTGCTCGCCCAGCACCCTGAGCAGGGTGAGCTGCTCCTCGTCGCTCGCCGTGATGCGGAGGACCTGGTCCCTGCAGGGAGGCAGAGCCATCAGTGTGCGCAGGAAGGATCACAGATGGGAGGAAAGGAGCTGAGCCACTGGCACTGATGCAGCCCCATTACGGGCTGGGTGGAGGCTGTGAAAGGTCTGCACCAGCTCAGCGGGTTGGAAAGTGCGTCAGTTGTTGGAGGTTTGGTGTTGAGAGCAAAAAATGCAGGTTCAGGAGAGCCACGATGGGGAAAAGCAAGTGCCAGGGAGCTCAAGGTGGTCTCCATCCTTCCTTTGATCATGAGGGCTCCCAAAAGATGTTAGGAGATGTCTAACGTATCGATATGTTCTGTCTGTGTCTATCTACATGTCAGGTGTAACAGCCTCCACTCCTGCCTGGGTGGGCTCCCTCAGGGATGGGTGCAGCCCCCAGCGGAGAAGGAAACACTCTCCTTCCCTGGCAGCGAGGTTTCCCCATCTTGAGTCATAGAATCATAGAATCATAGAATCATAGAATGATTTGTGTTGGAAGGGACCTTAAAGGTCATCTGGTTCCAACCCCCCTGCCACGGGCAAGGACATCTTCCACCAGACCAGGTTGCTCAGAGCTCCATCCAGCCTGGCCTTGAACAATTCCAGGGAGGGGGCAGCCACAGCTTCTCTGGGCAACCTGGGCCAGTGTTTCACCACCCTCATGGGGAAGAATTTCTTCCTAACATCTAATCTAAATCTGCCCTCTTTTAGTTTACAGCCGTTCGCCCTTGTCCTATCACTACACACCCTGGTGAAAAGCCCCTCTGCATCCTTCCTGTAGGCCCCTTCAGGTACTGGCAGAAGGACAATAGGCCCTCCTTCCACTGGCAGAACTTGTGCTCTCGGGATTTAGCATCCCCTAATTTCTACCCGTTGCATGCTCGAAACCTTCCTCCAAAGCTGGAGTGAAGCCGCATCTTTCCCATTGTCCGCACGGCAAAAGCTGACGGATTTCCCTCCTTTGGGGTGTCCTGGTGAGTGGACACCGAGAAGCCTCAGCCCCTGAGGGCATCTGTAGCCCCCTGTAGAATGCTCCGGGGGCAGCCGTGGACCTTCTCACCAAGGCCACATCTGCTGTCCCCGTGGAGCCAGCAGCGACAAACAGATTAGCCAGGAACGGCTCCCAGGAGCCCAAACGTCCGCTTTATTTGGCGAAGTCAAGAAAAGAGCGGCCAAATTAGGGAGGATCCGATAACGCCTTCCTCGGCACTCGGGTCCTGCTGTGGGCGGCTGGGGAGGACGCGTGCCCCCGCACCCGACTTGGCGCGAGGAGGTGTCATAGTCACTGTCACGGTGGCAACGGTGGGGTCGCAGGACCCCGGAGTACACAAGGACACGGCACTTGGTTTCCCTGAATTTCTTTATTACAGATCACTAAGTCAAGGGTGATTACGATTAGTAAAGCAAGGGTGTATTACAAATTACTACAAAAATCCTAGCAGAAAAGCAAGCGTATAAACATATCCATGTTTATGATTGATTACACAGATATATATAGATAAAATTCAAAATATATCATTCAAATTATTACCTGTGCCATTCATCAAACTGCTCCCAGGAGTGGGACCAGTTGATGATGGATAAAGTCTCACTTCAAAGACGATGGGCGTCACGGAGCCAGGCGTCCCCAACAAGGTCCGAGGGATCGCACATCAACGTTCACATGGAGATAATGCTCGGAGAGAGCAGGAGAGGGGCTCATTTTTGGGTAGAAAGGGAGTTATTTTTACGTCTTCAGTGCAGACCCATGAGCGGGCGCAGGGCAGCAGCTCCTGGAGCAGCCGTTGCTGACTTCTGCTGTCTTCGGAGGTCAGCTCGTTACAGTGGTGTCTTTGTTCCGCAGGTTACAGCAGCGCCTTTGTTCCCCAGGTTACAGCAGCGTCTTTGTTGTGCGCTTAACTACGATGCCCCTGAGCTCCCGCCCGCGCTCATCGAGGATGCTCCGGGTTCCCGGGCCGGGCTCCCAGACGTCGTCTCGGTCAGTACTTTAGCAGTCATCTTCTGTCCATGGATTTTCCCCGTTAAAACCAGGTCGTCTTTCTGGTCGCATGGTGTCGTGGTTGGGGATCCGGTACGGCTTCGTAATGTGGAGCCGGTGATGTTGGTGAGCTGGTCCTGGCTGGTGGTTGCCAAGGGTCCTCACTGAGGCAAGATCATGGGGTAGTTGAGGTGGGAAGGGACCCCAGGAGGTCTCTATCCAACCTCCTGGACAAAGCAAGGTCAGCTTTGGGGGCAGACCAGGTCCCTCCACGTTGGGTCTTGGAGTCCTCCAAGGTTGGACTGTCCTCCTGGTGCAAAAGCATTCTCCTACATCCAGTCTGGCTCGCTCTTGTTTCAGCTGATGACATTGCCTCTCCCATCACATTCTGTGGTGAACAGTTGGCTCCATTTTCTCAACCTCCTTGTAGGGACAGGAGGGGCCCTGTTAGGTCCCCCCGCTCCGAAGTCATCTCATCTCCAGGCCAAGCCAGCCCATCTCCCTCAGCATCCTGTCATGGGACACATCCTCCTGTTCCTCTTGGTGGCCTCCATTGGACTCCAGGTCTCTTTGGTGCCAGCGGTCCACAAACTGGATGCTGTTGTCACCAAGCCATGCACTGAGAAAAAAGAGGGGCCAGGTGGCCTCAAGATCTGGATGGTTGGAATGAGCTTCAAAGCCAGGGCGAGACCGTAGGTCTGCAAACCTGCCCGAGGCTCCTCGGGATCTGCAGCTCCTGCCCACCACCTGTCACAAGGTCCCTGCGCCAGTGGCAGCAGCTCGGCCAGATCCAGGAGCCAACCACGTGCCCCAGGCCTTCCCCGCCAGCAGGATTTTACCAAGGGTGTTTGTATCGCTGGCTGGAGGACAGGATTTTGGAAGTCTGGGTCAGTGTGGGTCAGTTTGGGAAGCAGGTGCCACCAGACAGGGACGGGGACACGTGCAGGGAGTGCTGGCTGCCCTGCATTCAGGTTTGCTTTTCAAAACGGCTACACTTAACCCAAAATCAAACCCATGTGCTGCTTCCTGACGCCTCAGCTGCACCTTCACGTTCCCTAGAATCACAGAATCATTAAGGTTGATAAAGACCTCCAAGATCATCAAGTCCAAGTGTCAACCCAACCCCACCATGCCTGCTAAACCATGTCCCAAAGTGCCACATCTACATGTTTTACGAACCCCTCCAGGGATGGGGACTCCACCACTGATTTGGGCAGCCTGGTCCAAGGCTTCACAACTGGGAGGAGCGGTGGATACACCAGAAGGCTGTGCTGCCATCCAGCAAGCCCTGGACAGGCTGGAGAGTTGGGCAGAGAGGAACCTGATGAAATTCAACAAGGGCAAGGGCAGGGTCCTGCACCTGGG